TGCAGTCACCTGAACTTTGACTTCAGTGGGGGTGACACTACATGTAATTGCAGGCTAGAGAGCAGCTTGCCAAAATGAGGGTTTTCAAAGCTTGTTCTCACAGTTATAACACAAGGAAAATAAAATCCCTGGAGAAGTCAGCAGGAGTTTTAATGAAATAAGGAATGCACGATTATGGCTTAATGTCCTGCATGAAGTAAGGTAACTTGATTGTACGTATCATCAACAAGTAAACTAGGGCAAACGCCCTTAATATTAATACCATTCTTTCATTTCACTCATCGAGCTCCTTAAGCATCCCTGCCCAATATGTCCAGAAAAAGAGAACGGTGGACGGACAGGTAGGAAAATGTCCTTCTTATGAGATACCAGTGAGGTGACTGCAGCAGAAGAATCTTAACCATTGATCACTCTGATCACCTTACCAAAAGGTTTTGGGTTACTATATAACTTATTCCAGAGTACCTAAAGGAACCTGGCAAAGCAGCAAGTTAATAAAGTATATTCCACCTCTGAAGACCTGGATTCATATATTGACTAACCCTGAGTTTCTTAGGCTCATATTAAAAACTAGTATAATACAATCCAACAGCAATAAAAAAAATGAGATTTACATACAATTTCACAAACAGGTAAATTGCAGCTTACAGCCACCAATCTGGAAATGTTCTAACTCCTCCTTTCCATCTCCATTATTTCTCACTATCCCATAAATATACCATACAAGTTTAAGACTACAGATGTAAGAATCCAAGTTCTCATCATTTTGGATATGTGAAAAATGTTTATTTTTTTTAATTCAAAACTTTACATTAGCGTGAAATTGAAGAATGCCATTATCTCATCCTGTGCCAACAAAAATGAAGAAAAAAGCACCACAGTACTATTTGCACAACTGGAGAAACAGGCATGTTTGTTAGACTTTTGTCAACAGTGGTACATACGTTTGAACAAGACTGCCAATCTGATGTAATATCCACACAGGGGGAGTGAATCTTGATCACATGTATTACAATATTTGCTCAAGATGATCCCAAGCCTAGAACATTATGGGTACTGCAGGTGAAGCTGATTTTAATCACCATCAACATCAGAAAATGAATCCACTAATATTACCATTTGAGGTCACCCTTCATGCTGTGAAAAACAAAACTCAGAGCAGTGCAGAGTCATCACTACTGGCAGTCCTAGTTTCAGGTGATAACTAAAAGCTGGTTAGGGAAGTGTTATGCAGTATATAGCATGTGCATCACGCTATAAAAGGGAACAAAGGTAAGATATTCATCAAAGAAGAAGCTGGAACTGAGAACAATTGCTAGTAATATTGCTGACAGTTTTGTAAAGCACTGTGATGTACTAATCAAAGTGCTATATCATACCTAGGATGATCACTGTTAACACTATTCACAAAAACTACTGAAAGAGTATAACTTAGAAAGACTCTGTTAAAAAGAAAATAAAACAAAACAGAGTCAAGTCTATCAATGAATTCTAAAGAAACAGGAAAAGTATCATTTTTTAATAGTTGGATACCAGAATGTTAAAACAAAACAGATTTTCGTGCCCTGTATTTTAAAGGTTCAATGTCAAAGGTTCAATTCTATGTTAAAGGTTCAATTCTTAACTTCCTACTTGGGTAACATTCTCACTGACTTCAAAACAAACTTTTCACTGAATAAGGGTATTCACTGAATATTTACCCTTCCTGAATAAGTTGTTGAGCAACACTTTACTAGGGAACTGTAGAATCAGATCACTGTTTGTTTGTATATTTAAAAAGTTGTATTTTCCCCAGAAACATTATGGAAAGTCGTTACTAAAACCTTATAGAGAAAACTTTTGAATAGAATTAAGTGAAAGGTACCAGTCATTTTATCATATTTCCAACATCTTGGAAATGAGGGTAGAAGAGCAAACTAATATTTGGTCTAACTCTACTGACTACCAGAGATGCGTCTATGTATCCCCAGTCCAAAAATGGTCTGAAGAATTACCTTGGAGTATATTGCATGGGAAAAAGAAAACCACCATAATTCTGTCCTATATTGCTGATAGAATAGTTTCATGCTGACACTGAAAGAATGGGATACAGGCATTTTAAGCCAATGTGACCAAGTGCCACTTCAAAAAGACCACAAAAGAATATAAGAACTTCTTTCTGGGTTTTCCCCCTAAAAATACTTCTTTAAACAGAGGGGAAGAAAATAAAGCATGTTTGTTTGGATTTATGTTTTCAGGTCTAACATCAGTCAACCTGCAGCATTCACACTTGATGGTGATGCAAGACAATGCCACAATGGTGGACAATTAGCACTAATTAGTTATGCAGCTTCAGAAGAAAACAAATCATAGACGCTATTGTGAAAGTAAATTACCACTTCCCACCAGATCAAACATATGGAAGCAAGTAGTCAAGTTATGATGTGGCAACTGAAAAAATGCAGCTGGACTGATATACCTGCAAGTCTTTAGCTGCAAGACTGGAGCCTATGCTTGTAAGGATGCTGTCTGTTGCCTGTAGGTAAATAGACCAATACCATTTATGAACACTACTTTCAGTCTGAGCCACCAAAAGGGGGCTTTTAAATAGAAAGTTGTGAATCTGAAGCTAGGGTAACTAGTAAGCAATTCATACCTGCCACAACTTTATTGAAGCAAATGGAATTTTTGCAGGGATTCAAGTTACCAGAAGTTTACAGATCTACAAAATCTTGGAGTATTATCCCAGAGCAGGATTCAGTACGAACAACTGCCAACTATTTAAGTTTCTTGCATCATGTACCTTATTGTGGCTCACGGAAGCAGAGGAATGTTTATGATGAAGTTATTTTATGTTACAATTTTTATGAATTGTGTCCTAGGACAAACTGTGCTCTGCAAATCCAGGCTCTCATTTAAGTCAAGGCATGAGCCTGAACACAGGCTTGAAGGAGTGTTATATTTACTCTTTGTTCAGCAATAACCACCCGGACCCTGATCCATCTATTGGACTAATATATAAATTTCAAAGCATGAGATACAATTTCTCACTCTTCATGTAATATTTTATATCTGATGAGTGGGAAGTGGAGAACATAGCCAATAGCATTCATAATATTTTTATATAATTATCTTTGTTAGAGACTTACTGTATGGTTTTTACTGTCAGTAGGGGGGTGTGTGCATAAAGATTTGTAATGTTTATGAGCAGCTTGTGGTACAGTTTGGGGTAAACAGCTACTTATTTATACAACAGTTGTTATCATGCTTATAGGTAGATTAAATAAGCTTTTACACTAAAAAAAATTACAAAGGAGAAACAGCATCAAATGCAGTGTACTTAAAAAGGACACACTCCTCTTTCACCTTTAAAACTTTTACACACAACTCTAGTTTAGATAATCTTGAAATAAATCTTACCCAAAAGAGAGAGCAGGTGCAGTCTTAAAACAGGAAATTTTAGAGGATTATTCCTAAAGAAAATATATATGGAAATGAAAAATGCAAGGGAAGCTGTTGTAATAAGCAAATGTTAAATAATGAAAATAAAGGTATAAAATTCCTAGAACCATGCCAATGAATTCTTGAAGCAACTGCTTAAAATGAGGCTTCATGGTCAAGGAGTCACTGAAGACATTGTCAGGATGGCCTACTTGGGAGATAACTGCTTCCAAAAAGATAAAAGGGTCATTCTATTAATATCTTGTAGGACTGTTCATGCACCTTCCCAAGAAAAGTTCACTATCAGTCAATGAGAGCCTGAGGCTCACAGGGTCAGGCCAAAGGGTTTATCATAATTTCAAGTGTTTGGTATCACAACACCACCAAGACAGTGATCTCCATACAAAACATATTTCATAGGGCTACATCACTCCCATCAAGAAATCTTGATGATATGCCCCCTTTTTAAATATTCTTTTATGTAATTTAAATGCTGTGTAACTCATAATTCTCAAGGTACAGTTCAAAGGATTTCATCACAACTGAGATTTATGCAATCAAGTCTAGAAACACTCCCAAAGAAATATTAACAGCTCACTCGTATGTGTTGCCAGAAAAAAAAAAAAGATTCAGGATCATACAGTATAATCAAGAATTCAACTGCAATCACCCCAGGGGGTGTGGTATAGCAGAAAGTGAACAGATTTTGGTTACGTTTTCCTGTGTATTTGAATAATAGGGATTAGAAACCTTGCTGTAAGATGTTATATTTCTTGGATCTTACATTTCATTGTACACAATAAGCTACGCGGCAGGATATCTAAAGCCAAATAGAACAGTGTTTCTGCTTTTTTTTTCCCTCCTGTATTCCTGCAACCACACGGGGTTTGGAAAACATCGTACACTCCCTAGAATAGATCTTGGCACGCTGTGGCTGTCCTGGGGGAGTCTCCTGACACCTGCTCAAGTCTACATGCACTGTTTCTCAGATTGCTCCAGCCCTGTTGCACAAGAAGCAGTAATCAGAAGCGATGAATTTATGCCAGCGATGGGAGGGGAGGGGGAAAAAAAAGATTAAACAACTATCAGTACAAATTTAAAATTATATCAGTGCAGCTTAATGTATTTCTCTGGAAACGGTGGTCCTGCTCCCACTGCTTTTCTGCTCAGAGAAAGCAACGTGTGGTGTGACTAACTTATCAGGATGTGTCCCCTCTGCTACCATTTGCTGAACAGAGGCAGGAGGAGTGTTAGGCACGTGTGAGGCCGAATAGGGGATGCAGCAAGAGAAGAAATCCCATTACCTGCAGTGCCTGTCTGTGGGTTTGGCTGTACCGCGGGGTGCTGCTGAGCACCGGCAGGGGGGGCGGGAGAGGAGATCTCAAACCAAAGCTGTCAGAGAAAGGGACCGGGTCAGGGACCCAGGAAGAGGGGGCAGAGAATGGCAGCAGCTCAGTCCCAGCCTGCCCTGGCCCAGCAGCAGACATGCAAACGGACACGTCGAGAGGAGCAAGGAGCCAGCTGCTTGCACAAAGGGGGCGCAGGGAGCAAACCCACACCCTCAAGGGAGCAAGGCCTACCTACGGCCCCCCTGCACGAGCAGGCACCTTCCTGATCTGCATCTGACACCAGTGTGTTGCCCAGGAGTGAAGTGACAGAGATGACTCCCCTGACAGAGCTGGGGTGTTTTGCCTCCCTCTGCTGGGAGGGAGGAAACCTCTCACAGGAGCCAGGTAATACCAGCAACCCTTGCTTAACCTGGTATCACCAACACACCACTGATTTGAAACCATTTCCCCCAGTGAGAGGCCTGTGACAGCAGCTTGACTCTGTGGGCAGTGGCAGGGGAGCAAAATGAGAGCTCATTTTGATGTTCATGCAATAGATTTTGAGAAGAAACCTTAAGTGGCTGACATTGCAGAGCAGGCAGCACTGGCTGGATGCCCAGCGTGATGTTGCAGGCCCAGCGTGGGGAGCCACTTGAAAAATCTGAAAGCCCATGTTTCTGGGACCACTAGCAACAACCTCGTTTCACTCCGACTGGGTTTTCCTTCTAAAATCAACTTTCGGATGGTGAGAAGAAAGCCTTGGACTCCCCCCGCCCTCTCGCTCACAGCCAGCTCCAGAGTGGTACAAGCTATCCCCATGTCACACCATCAGATGACAGCCAAGGATCTAGAAGAATTAAAACAGCAAGAAAGAGTTTCTTTGTTCTATTTCTGACCTCATCCCCCAATGAGTGAGTAAATTTTAATACTTCACATTAATGCATGATCGCAGGGCAAAAGATATCAGAGCTGTCAGATCATAGACATAAACTGGAAATAATAAAAATAATATGAAATGCATTGATGATGTTTTGATGATCTTTGCTATCGATCATATAATGTTTTGATGATGTTTGCTGTCAAGTTTTCATCTATTCAGCTCAACTAAAGTAACTCCTTGTCTTCAGTATCAATGACAGTTACTGTTTGTCACAAGGCATTTTTTGATTTCTAAGAATTTAGATTTGAAAATACATCCCAGAATAAATCTGTTTTCCTGCCTCTTACAAATGTTGCTGCTCAGAATATCACATATTATTGCACACAACAGATGCTGCCATCTTTTTTTTAGGGCAATTTATGCCCTTTTGACCTTTAGTTTTCAACTGTCTTCACCTTTTTTTTTTTTTTAAATAGCCCACATTTTGTGGAGGCATTCTGGACTTTTAAAGATACATTATACGTGCAAACCAAGGAATATACAGAATTGAAAAGGAACAAAGGTCTCCTTTACAACATAGAGGACTTGGGATAGCTATGTGTGTGTGAAACATAGGGGAGCTCTGTGATCTCTAATGCAATACAACATAATTCAATTTCCTAAAAAGCTGACTGCACACTTGACTAATCCATACATCTTCTATTGTGAAAGGTCACTTACGAAGGACACTGGAAGATTTTTTTTTTTTTTGTTCATTTGTTTTATGATGTCATTTTTTGAACAAGCCTCACCTAGCAAAGTTTGTTCTGGAGTTGCTGTCCACAACTGGTATATAATATTACACATTACTGTTCAGATGCTTCTTCTCTAAATAAGAAACTGAAATCCCCATGAAGATCCAGATCCTGATTTAGAGTCAGGTATGCCATTTGTGCCAATTTTACCCCCCCCATTTTTGAGGTGTAGTGATCTTAGCCAGTGCTGAAACTGTAGCAGCCAGATGTTAGAGATGTAAAGATACTCTCTGCTAATCTCTAGGTCAACAGTGAAGACAGATCAGGGTCAGATCAGTGATAAGATAAAAGGGTTAATTTTGAAGGGAAGAGGGCAAGAAAGGAAAATGTAGTTTGCTTAACTAAAAACCGGGAGATGGGGAGTAGGCATAGTCACTGGTCTGGGTCAAGGGAAGAACCAGTCCCAAAAAGGAAAATGGAAAGTCTGCAGCTGTCAGGGCAGAAGTTACTAGGCACAACTTGGTTGTACCAATAAATAAACAAAAAAAAAAACCATCACTATCAAGACAAGTACCTATTATTAAATCTGTGTGTGCATTCACTTTGCAAAAAAGGCTTGTGGCTTCCTTTGTGTTTGAAAAGCACCTAAAAACCATTTTGGACACTCTACCAATATAAAAAGTAATTATTAAAACTGGTTTGAAATTGATATTTTACTTCTGGTTACAGCACTCTAGAGTGTCTAGCTATGTCATTATAACTGTAGAGATAATGAAAATAAAAAAGTCAGACAGAGATCAAGTAAATATAAATGTCTATATTCTGAAACAATTTAAAACCATGAAAATTGAATTTAAATCATTCTCATACTCATATGAAATTGAGACAATAATGAAAACTAAGTGAGCAATGTTTAAAGTTGATGTAAACCAATTATCATAATTATACCAATTAGAATAATACGCATTTATTACAAAGGAAACATTAGCACTGTACTTAAAAGTTAACTACAGTATTTAGTTGACATAGATTATTATGTAACAGACTACAGTCCAGCCCACAAAATTATTAGCTTTGAGAGAGAAATTTCTTAACTGTCTTTAAGAGTGCTTTCTTTAGAGTCTCCTTAGTGGCCCAACCAACAGCCCATGCCCAGGAAGTCCCACATGGTAAATTTACCTACATAGGTAAATAAGACATTATGCCATAAAAAAGGGGGAAAAACAGTAACGCCTATGTTTTCACTTTAAGGAGACAGTGACCAGACTGAAGGGATGAGAGGAAGACCATTGTAAATATGTTCCCAACAACAATACTTTATGCTGAATCTGCTCCTCTCCCTTGATGGTTCTGTGCAGTGAGAAAAAAAATGAATCCCTTGAATACAAGTCCCAAGCCATTTGAAACACCAGTTATATAACACTGCCTTTCAAACCACAATTCCCCTTGCTGAAATTTTACCCAGGAGACAGGATATCATATTCACAAGGGGCGAGCAAGGATTTATGGAATTGTTAGTACGTATTTTTATGCTTTAAAAAGGGTTGGTTTGGGGGTTTTTTACATGCAACTTGTACATGTAACTAATCCATGTAAGCATATTTTTTACTTTTGTCCTTCCCTGTATTTTTTCCCTTTTTGGATTGGATGAGACTGTTTAAATATGTCCTGATCAGGCAATGAAATTACTGTTAAGACCTTACCTCCCTACAATTAACCTCTTCCCTTGTTGCACAGAACCCAACATGATGGTGTCTAGTTTGATTGGGATTACAGGAGTACAAAGAATAAATAAATCATTTATTACTGAATATAAATAATAAATAAATCTCCTCCACTTCCTCTGTACTGCTATGCAAGATCAGTGGGCTTCAGGGAAAGGAGCTATAGGAGAGAATATGTGGGATGGAAGGCCTTTTAACTAGCAGGGTAAAAGGGTTTCAGCCTCCAATGCCAACCAAATTCCTAATAACAAAATCCCTCCAATTCCCAGCAAGTAATAGTATCACTTTTAAGACAAACAATGGATACTTGTGCTATTGTCTCTCCCAACAAAGCTGGGTATCATGACTTCCTCTACAGTAGGTTGATACCGCGTTCGAAAAGTTAATGTAAATCCTGCCTGCATAGCTTTCATAGAAAAATACCACATACCCACCTTCCAAAATATTACAAAGCATTACAATATTACAAATACTATTATTACAGCAAATGAATTACTGCATAGGCCAGTTGTACAAGACCCCTTTTAGAAATCAGGGCTTATTCCAAATTCCACAGAAGTCAATAGAGACATTTTCCATTTACTACAATGAGTTTAGAACAGGTTTTTTTTGTATATATCTGGAAATTTCCCAGTATCTTTTTAATGTTTATCTCTGTAAAACCCACTTGATACATTAACAGCTGGAAAAATACCTGCAATCCAGAACTCTATTGCTTCAAAATTGTTCTACAGAACCTCCAGGCCAAAAATTTCAACTTGGCTTTAAGTTAGATGCCGAAATGTATAAATAGATACTTTAAGTCAGTGATAGTTGTGAGTGCTCAGCATCTTTAAAAAAATAACTTATGTGTAGTAGTAATCAGGATTTTTTTTTAAAACGTATGTTTTAATCAGAAAATGGTAACTCACAAGAACCAAAACTTTCCCTAGAAATGAACATATTGGTTAAAAATACTCATTCCTTCAACTACTTCAGAATACCCCAGTGACTAAAGCAAGGTTCAGATGTCTCCCCTGCCTGCTTCAGAACAATGACTGAACCACAGTTTCCCGCTTCCCAGGTAAATGCCTAAAAATAAGTTGCCAGTTATTTTGGAGTATGTTTTCTCAATATCCCCTATAGAGCTTTCACATCCCAATTAAGTCACTTGGCTACAGTGTCAGACACTGCACTCACTGGCCCAATGAACTGAGTTTTTGTGTGAAACAGAGTAAGAAGACGGACATAAACCACACCTGGCCTACTCAGGAAGGTAAACAGATTTCCCAAGAGCAGCCTATCCTCTACAGGAAGGCTGCCCAACTTCTGAGCAGCTGGGCACCACGTGCCACAGGGGCACCCCACCATACAGGCACCTTGGTCACCTGCAAGCCATACTTGCCCACTCCTAAGGTGGGGGCAGGAAGCAGAAGCTGGAGGAGAGAGCAGGAGTCCAGAGAATCCAACTACAGCAGCAATAGGAACAATACAGGAGTGAGAGCCTGGTAGGAATCTGCAAACCATGAATTAATCACATGTGGGCTGCATGCAACTTGCAGGCTGCCTTTTGGACAGTCCTGGTGCTTGGCTAGACCCCAGGTACCTCTCCACTATTTACCAGCTACATTCATTCCCCACCCTCCCACTGCCAACCTGTCTCTCACCCACTGACTCCTCAGTTTACATCTTTACTGACTGGCTTTCCTGCATGCAGACCAGCCCAGCCTCTGGCTTCTCTACTATTCATTCCATCCAGGCAGAACACAAATACCAACTGCAGATGCTTCCTAAGCCTGATGAAGGGTATTTATATCCGAAAGCTTGCAAAGAAGATTTTTTCCAACTATTTGGGTTGGTCTAATAAAAGATACCAGATTTACCCAAAGAACCTTGTCTGGCTAGACTCTGAAGTATCAAATCTTCCTCTAGCCTACCAGTAGATGGAGCAACTGCAGCAATAGGTATAGGAACAAGTATCCCATCTGATCATTTCCTCTATCCAACAGCAATAATTTGTCCTTATGATTGCTTCCCTGTTCTCCTTTGCTACCAATGAGTAAATAAAATGGAGTCACAAGGCGGGGAAATGGTTATCAGATGATACCCACATGGGCCCTCCCCTCCTGGCAGTCTATAGCAAACTAAATGTGTAAACTGCATGTATACAGCAGCTGTAAATGAGAGAGGAAAAATGTGCAGAAACAGAAATGATCTGAAAGGCAGGGAAGAGGATATATGTGGAAAATGCATAAATTAACAGACCAGGAATATAGTAATGGATAGGCATGTAAACTAGTAGATGAGAATGGGAACAGAGTGAAGTAAACTGTCTTATCTGAAGCCAATGAATCCTGTTCTTAGTTTCCTGCCTCAGTCAAGCATAAGAAGAATGAATTTGGTGACGAAAGGTACAAAGGAAAGCTGATCAAAGGAAAGATGGAAAGGAGGGACGGTCTCACCAACGCCTAATTCTGTAGGCAGTCACTGCTAACAAACCCCACTCCCGCTGCTGGCTTCCGGCTTCTGTGGGCGGTCACCGCTTGCCACCCCTCTGCCAACACTGTCAACCACAAATTGTACCCCCCCCCCCACAAGTCTCAGGAGGCACAAGCCATTCATATAGATGCTTCCACATAGTATAAAATGAAGGAAATTGCACTGGGGATTTCAGAATATCCTCACAGAGCAAGAAAGTCCTTCCAGACTGCCAGTTTTATCATCTGCATCAATTCCCTCTCGTAGTCAAGTCTAAACAAAGTGTATAGGAATACAGTATAAGAAATAAGCAATAAAGGAATCCAAGTGAACCTGACAAGTCCTTGGAGCAGGGAAGCTTTTACTGGTTATTTTACCATGAAGAAAAGGTCTGAAATGCCCAAAATCCCATTAATTTCAATATTTCATCCCTATTTGTGCATACAACTTTAGAACACATAAAGACTTCTCATAAATTCCACTCTCCCTGGATTCCAGGTCTCAAACCCCACAATTTACTAAAATAAACTTTTAGGTAGTGAATTTAGCTAAATGTTGTAATATTTTGGCACTTTGTAATGCACTCTGTTTGCAAGTATGTAATCTCTAAATAGCAGATACACCTAAGGGTTTGGACATATGTTTAGAAATTCTTTAAATTAATACAGTTCACAATTAAGAATACAAAAAATTGTTTGTCATTTATTATAGACATTTTGAGGCTTTCTAGATAAGGCAAGATATAAATCTAAATGATAACATTTACTATAACAACTATAATAATGGTCATAATAACAATTACAAGAATAACAATAATAATAATGACATATTTACTCCAGTGTAATTGTCCTTTACTCTGGTGTAAACAAAGACGGCACAGAAAAAGTAAATTCCTTGAATATAACATACTTGAATATAGTATAGACTGACTTAAAAAAAATCAGGGGTAAATCTATACCAAAGAACATAACACAGGTATAAGTGTCATGTGTCTGCAGCTACCTCAGGGTAGCTCTTTCTTCAAGGCAAACAGAGTATATTACCTGTTCATTCACTGTCTACTGACAAGGTGTCATACTAGCATCTACTTTAAAAGCAGTTGTGTACATCTGCCCTGAAATGGCTAACTGTTCCTGGTGTAATCTATACTGGTGTGCAAAAGTAACGTAAAATACACTGATATAAATGTGTTATAGGTCTACGTCCTAAAAAAACCCCACAACTTTCGATCAGCCTCTAAAGAGAAATGCACCACAGCCAACAATTAGCATTTCTCTATGATGTAGCTGCTCTAAGAAGAAAACATAGCAGAGATCAGCAATGCTTTCTGGTGGTAGAACTGAATTACCCTTCCTGGGTCAAAGGCAGATTGAAGCCAGGACCCAGCTGCCGTCATTGCCACTGCCTCTCTCTGCTGCCTAGCTGCAGCACAGCATGGACAAAGCCCCTGGACACAGCATGGCACAGCATGGTCCAAGCAAAGCCTCCCACTGCTGAAGACTCCTGCCACTGAAGCTCCTACTCTGTGGACCAAATCCAGTCTCTGGGGGTGGTCGCCAACCCTTGAGTTAGAGAGAGCTTGTGCTCTATATTAGCTCCATCTGACGGTTTTAAGGTGTTACCAGGTGCTGAAAAGATGTTCTTTGCTACAAAGCACGTCTTCGTAATAGCATTTGGTAAAGTAGGCTGTTGCCTATGAAAGTGTATGCGTTTCTGAACCAGTTAGCCTCTAAGGTCACATCCAGACATTCAGAGGTGTGCATTTGCAGTGGCACAAATTGCTGCAGTGCACGCCCCTTCATGCGTGTTTCGTTTCAGGACAATTTGTCCCGCAACGGACAAGCTACTCTCTCCCAGCTCTTCAGCCAGGGAGAGCAGGAGGCTGAGACTACTCACTAGGTGAGTAGTCTCACCTAGTGGCCTGGAGCAGCAGAGGCACGGGTCAGGTAGCACAGAATCATGAGTGGCAGACAGTGTTGCTCTGGACGGCCTGTCCTCTATGCGTGCCGGCACACACTTGTTGTGCATGTGTTATGCCACTTTTTGTTCTGTTTCTTTTTTTTTTTTTTTTTTTGCTACAGGGAAATCCTGGTAGCAAATTTTGGCCCCATGCTGCAAATTTGCAGTGCGGAGCACATTTTAATATTTGCCCATGTGGTTTGTGGTGTCATGAAGAGGTTTGCTGCTCCACAAGCCATACAACCCTGCATATCTGGATGCAGCCTAAGGTGCCACCCTGCCCTGCCTTGTGCTTGACTTCAGACTAACACAGCTAACTACGTCCCTGCAGTAGAAAAGAAATTTTTGCTGAATCGGGTTCACAGGTAAACTCATATTGCATATTGTTAACCTATTGTTAACCCCAGCGGGTTAAATACTCTTAGAACTCTCATCAGTTGTGTGCTTCTGCATTTACCATATTTTATTTGGACAGGTATCCTTGAGTGATACAATTTAATTTTATCACCCTGCCACAGGCATTGACAGGTACTTACAATTTTGTAAATTGTGACTTTTAGCAAAATTTTAAATATAAGAAGTAACAGCTGAAAAAAAAGTTTCAACAGCTTGACCATTAAGATAGATTTTTTACAGATTTTTTGTTATTATACCATTTTTTATTTCTGCTTTTTTATTATACAATCACAACTAATTGTATTAAATCAATGCCAGAAACCAAGAAATATTCTAATAACTAGATCATGCCTTGTACTTTTTAAAGTTGGGAGTGGGGGAAGGAGAAGCTTTATTCAGCAGCAGTGGAAGAGGAGGCATAGGAAATATATTTCTATCTGCATTTGGTAGGGCAGGTTTGTTCCCCAGCCCGCAAGGGTGTTGTAGGAGGTATACCCATTTAGCACCCACACATGTACACCACATCTCAAATTGGCATTTACAATAGCATTCAGAATCTCCACCTTCTCAACAAGCCTGTGTACCTGCTGACATCAACACCAAGTAGATTGCAAAAGCCACTCCAGCTCTGAATGTGAACAAAGTGTCCTCTCTCCAAAATACTCATTCCTCCTATCATCTTGCATATATCCACATTAGGCAATGCACCAGACCACTTCTCTGATCCCCTTCACTGGTTCAGGCATGCTTGATATTTCCCTGACCTTAGCTACAGGTAAAAAATACACAAGTCACTTTTATTTATTTTTAAAGCAAATACTATTTTTTTTTCTTCAAAGCTGTTACAAAACCAGTTTATTTCCCCAAAATGAAGTAAGTACGTACTGTGAATGACTGTTTTCATAAGATTGCACAAACTCTCTCACACACATAATGGTACAACACTTACAACAGAGTTCAGTGGGACTACTTGTGTGTCACTGAATTGAGTAAGATTTCAAACTCTAGACCTTACAAAAGTGAGAATACTGATTCAAATAAGTGTTTAAAATAAACTACAGAATTCAAAGTTTGCAAGTTGTGCTGCACCTGCATTGAGTACTCAACTCTGTATGTAAAACAAATGTAAGTATCAGTAATAAAACAGCATCTCATTAAACCCTGTTCTCATCTAGGAGTGAATAAATAAACTGTGTCTAACACAAATACCTGAGTTGTGTTGTAATACTGCTGTACGTAGTAGGGCCACTCAGTAGGGTAACTAGGGCTGAATAACCAGGGCATGAGCCTTGTGTGCTTACTACAGATCAGTGCTGAAGTGATGGCAGACAGGCACCAGTCACATCAGGAGGCTGGGCTCAGCATGGGCTGGGGGCTGCAGCCACTTAAACAGGAGGCAGAAGTTCCCTCCTCAACCTCACTCCCTCCCCCTTGGCTGAAAATAGCATATGGCCAACAAAAGGAAAACTACATTTAGTTTTGATTGTATGATGTGCATCAGAATGTTCATTCTAAAATGGTTATCCTGGAAAATCAATTTAATTAATTTGGCTTCATTTTTTGTAATCATATTTGGGCCATATTGTTTACTGATTGGAAAATCTTTTCAGAAATCAAAATCTCAGCATTACTCTCCATTGACAAAGCTTCAGTACTATGTTTTCAGATCTACTTTCAATCGTCTATATGCAGTAATTGATGTAAACAAAAATATCTAAATTATCTGATATCTAACATGGGGATGCTAATGAAACCATACATTCCAGTTGTTTTCAAAATCAGGCTGAACTAGGTAACTAGACATTTTTCTCTAGCTAGCTCCATTAGGTGGAGCTAAAAAAATGTCATCTTTAACATATTTAGCAAAAGCTTACTGGTCTAGAATGTGTTTAGTTTGGCAAATTGTTCCTAGTAAATAAAACTTTGAGTACTTTAGAACAAACACAAATGAAAGCTCTGCCCACATACATGACAAAAGACACTAAATTATTTGATGAGTTTCATAAAACTACAGATTTAAAAAAATCATTAAAATTTCTATTTTAAGGGATGATTTTGGTCATAGGTAAAGTTTGTAGTTTCACAGTAATGCTCATAATTCTTCACTAAAACATAACTGAAAAGTTTTGGTTTTTCTCTCTAGTATCGCTTTCAAATTATATGTACAACTGAGGCTCTTTAAGACAGTTGCTGTGCTACAGCTACCAGGACAAAGCACTCTCCCTTACTCCAATCCACTGATTCTGCTGGAGCAAATGTGGTAAAGGCAATTTCATATGAGATTTGTTTTATAAAGCAATAGGCAAGTTTACAGACCAGAAAGAAATTCCCACAGAGGAAGTACACTGAGCATTTAAGCCCTAGGTCTACACTTGCACTTCCTATTCGTTTTAAATTTTAAAGTCAACTTATTTAAATTCTGCCAGCTGTACTGGCCTTAGAGGCTCCAAATCTCTCATAGTCACTGGATTTCATCCTGGGCACATAGAGTTCTTCACAAAAGAAATTTTCATAGCAAACTCTTTTTATTCCCTCAACTAGCCATAATTTACCAAACAAATAAAACATGATAATCAAGAAAAAATACCAACATTTAGAAGCACTATCCATTATAAACTTTTAATTAAATTTGCCATAGTGTTAGCTTAAAGATATTTTCTGTTAATGATTGCAAATATGTTTGATTTTTAAAGTTGTAAATACAAAACAATGAGGTATTGGTTATTTCATTTTTTTCTTTAGTCAACAATTATTAATCAAACACAACATTAGATTTTGACACTGAGAAACTAAAATTAAGCTGAGATGGAAGTTTGAGGAGTTATTTCATTTGGGAACACCACTGTTGAACACATGCAGTATATTTTTACAGCAAAGTCCCTAATAGCTCCTGGCATTCAAATGTGATGCCCTGGTAGATCACTGATAACCTGACAAAAGGATTTATTCAAGTTAGGTCCTTGAGATGAGCAGTTGATCTTGGTGGGTTGAAAGAAATTCTTGGTAACATTTGATGGGAGGAAACCTGTCCAAAAAGCTGATGTCTTCCATGTCAGCTGGCTAAAGGAAAGCACGTGGCTCCTGACTGCTCGCAGATCCTAGTCTCTTTGTGGTAAGAGCTGTTTGGCATTCATAATTATGTATTTTCTGAAGTATGCTGGGAAGAAAGGCTTAAAATGTGTCCAAGATATAGAAGAGAAAGGAAAGTCTGTTGTAGACACTAGAGGAGGTTGGCCAGGAAAATAAAAGGAAGTCTGGTAGTTGGAAAACTGAATGCTTGGTTTCCTGTTGAGAAGGAGAAGTAATGGAACATTCTGTAAACAGGAGAAGAGAAAACAAGAATGCTTATCATGCTTAATAATCAAGGTGATAAGGAGGACTGCTTAAGTGAGAAGCATTTTCTAGACAAGACAACAGGTGTAAAAAAGGTCTGTCCATGTGTACTAACAATGTCTACAGCATCACACAGACGGTAATGTGCATTGACAAACCTCCTCACATAAACGGTAATGTGCATTGACAAACCTCCTCACATAAACATTTGCATCTCTAGTAACAGACTGACCATCAATGCCAGGAAGAAATTTTGATAAAAGTTTTGATTTTCTCAGTGACTTGGTAGTAAAATTTATTTTGGAAGCTGTTGTGTGAAATGTTGGTGATAAAAGTATAATGCAGTGATTTAAGATGGTTCTTAACAGTGTTTTACAAAGTACTCATAATGCTTGGTACTTCATGTTTGTTTCTTAATTCATTGGGATCCTCCCATATAAACCAGTTAGAATGAAATAGTGATTTCAGTGGGTTGATAACCTACTTCTAAGGTTATCGAAGATATAAATAGGTAAGAAATAAAAATCATGTTAAGATGACAGTCTTGAATGCCCACAGCCTTTCAAAAAGCAGCTGTAACAAACAGGTCTAACACAAGAGGCTAATACAAACTTATTAGAGTGCGGGTAGCCACCCTGTGGCACACATGGTACAAGTGGCATGGGTAACAGCTATGTATAGCACACAGTAGGCCTGGGAGGAGACTAGCATTTGGCAACACAGTGGCAGATAGGGCAAGGAGCAAAAAACCGAGGAGCTAATTGGGCAAGGGAGCACAAGGCAGGAAGCAGAAAGCAAACTAACTGATCGGGCAGCAGGAGAATGGTATCAGAGTAGCACTGAGGGAGGGTATGGGACTAATTTGTGGCATGCCTGTCAGACAGATTGAAACCCACTGCGTTAGAGAATCCTGGTCTTGATTTCAGACCAGGATGCAGGATATCCACAAATTCAGTCTGCAGTTGCTATTACAGCCAGTGAACCACAGTAGTGGCTTATACAGCCATTCATTATGTAGAACTTGCAGCCAATGTATCCATGAACTTAATGGACCAGTTAGTCACATGTACATCATTGCTTTAGTGAAACATCCTCCACTCTTAGATTCCTACAGAGTAGTCTTCCACTGAACTAGGGTCTATGACAAAACCTCTATGCACAAGGGAGTCCTGGTGTTTCTTTTTCTTTTTGTTCAGTCATGAGACATGAGATTCTCAATGCAAATCTGATTTTAGAATGATACAATTGCTTATGGCACTGCAGTAATCCCTACCGTATGAACCATTTACAAAGAACATGCCAATCTGATTCTCAAGTTAGATGTTCAAACTAAATAAATTTAAATGCTTCACAAAGAGTGGTGCAGTCAGAGGGCCATGTTCCTCCTTTATTGTGTAGGCAGAACTCCTATTGATATCAGTGAGACACTGCACAAAAATCAAAATAAAATTTGATCCTTTCAGGCCAATAATCCAGTTGTTAAAATTTTACAGAAAGTATGTTCTACTTACATAAAAATCCTTCCCCCTCTCCCCCTCCAGAAGTTCACAGGTACACATTTTCATTATATCATGTAAAGTCTGAAGGAACATCAAGTTTTAATGCATTTTTTTAATTACTAAGGAAATCAGCTTAATATTAAGCACTGAGTCTTCAGAACAATAATACAAAGAAACAAGACAGACAAGGGCATTTGAAGTTAGAGGTAGTGGCATACGACTCCGGTTGGAATCATGGTTTTCAGCTGTTCTAGGTTCCTAAGTGACCTTGTGCAATAGCTGTTAGGAATATTGCTACAGGCAGGCAGTTGAAAGATTAGCCATTAAGTTTCAATCTTATCTTTGTAAAATGACTGTATTCAAACAGTCTGAAATTATTTTAAATGATTCCCAAAATAAATAAAACCCCTTGATTTTCACATCAGACTAAATAAATAAATAAAGTCTAGGTATTTAGTTTGCAAAAGATTATTTTGAGGAATCATGACTCTTATAGTTTGATTTTTCCATAAAGATCCTTTGCTCTGAAGTATTCAGTGCTACTCATCTTCAGACAACTTGAAAGGCAATGGATTAAATGGCATTCAGATCCAGTGAAACAAAGCACCTCAAGTAATTAAAGTTTCCTCTCCCAAATGCTGATTCTAATACTTAATTAAGGAGGGCACAGAAATCGAAAGTTATGTAACGCTCTCTACCAAACAGCAAAGCATTTTAAGCTGAGCTGAACATTCACGGCAAGGGCAGCACATTTCAGCGATATGCTGGGAGGGTCAAACAAGCAACTGGACTGCCTGACATACCTATAAATCTGCAGGTCACTAGATAACTTGTCGAGTATCCAGAGAAGGATTCAGTTCTTTTAACTGGATCCATTCAAGCTGGAAGACTGGGTCACTGGTGCCACAAGACATGAATGAGGGTGGCAACCCCACATAAGGAACCAAGCCCATGTGTGTGTAGGCATAAATCAAACAGAAACAAAGCAGTTTTCCCATTAAGCTGCATTGCAGCAGGTAACACGGAATGAACTTTAAACCTGCCACATAACCTCACTTAATGACCGTTGCTGGGTAAGATAATAGGACATTATTGAACCTGGCTGAGGATGGGATCCAAGGGTGCCTCCTTTATTGCAGTGTTGGAACCATGCCAGATGCAGATAGTCCCTTTCCCACCAGATACCTCTACCTCCTGGGCTTCATTCCCAAACTCCCCAGCGGGAAGGAATGGGATTCATTAGCATTTGTTGCCACTGCCTCCACACTCTGACAACCCTTCCCAAGACAGGGTCCCCTTGAAGCCTGCTGCCAGAAGGGCTTATCCCTTGCGTGAGAGGGGAAAACCAGGCTGGATCCTCTTCCCAGATCCTCCTCTGTCCAGGGACACCCAGCATCAAGAGAGCCCCATATCCCTCTCTCCACCTGCACCCAAGGGTGCTGTGCCACACCAGGACTCTTCCCCACTTCTCCACTGAACCACCCACCCCCAGGAGCCCTCAGAGAGTCACCATATCCCCCGCCCTCGCTGGGTCGCTGTCCTTCTCCTTCCACAGGGGAACCCCTCCCCTTCCCTGCCCCAGGGACACCCCCTGTCCCTCCTGTGCCAGGGGGACTGCTGCACCCTCCCCTCACAGGAGCAGGGAGGGGGAGAGGGACCTCCTGCCCTGAGCTCAGCGGCCCAAGTCGGGCAGGCACCTGCAGTGAGGCACCGCAACACGTGTGCTCGCGCGCACACCCACACACACACATCCACACACCTATATACACCCCCCCACACACACACACATATATACACACCCCTTACGCACACACGCCCATACCCCCCGCCCAAGGGCCACTGGTGCTGCCCCAGCCCGCACCCGCCCGGCCC